CGCTATTGCTTTAACACATGTTACTTATTGACACAATACCCCGTCATGTAATGCATTCAAAACACACTCTGTCAGTTATGTTAATATGCGGCGACAATACATCACGTGAGCTACATTACAGAACCATGTGACCTGGCCCTGACATTTGTTAGATATATACGTTATTTTTACGAAAGATGTGGTCTATTTGTTTAGTTTCATGTCGTATTCAAGATGACGACCTATATATAGTAAATATCGCATTTGTGCGCAAGCTGTCTGTGGATGCGGTTTATTCTGCGGTCGTATATTCACGAGTAAATATAAGCGTGGATACACAACAGGAGCACATTACTCTGACCTTGACGTTTCTCTTTACATTATTGTAATTCAGACTATGAATACTGCTCACTTGTAGAATTCACTGTGATCATGAACATGTGACTGATTTGTATAGTTATTTCACAATTTATGATATTCTGGTGTGTTCACAAATGTACTTAGGCAATTCACGTGATACAATAAATGCTAGGTAAATGCAGCTTAACAAAATAATATTTTGCTCAATTGTTGTGCTCAATAGAAATAACATTTAGCAAGTTTGTAACTATAGAAACTGCAGTACATATGTAATTATTGTTGCTATGCTATTATATCTGGAAATCAAACACTACTGTGATTCTCCATCATGGCCACGTGATAAAAATAAATATGGACACATGTGCTACATCATATATGTTATGTCAATATAGCTATTTATATAAGTATTTTTAAAATACACCTATCTTACCTTCCCTTGTAGTGCTACGCAAAATACAAGTGTCGCCACAAAGAACTGGGTAGATCGGAACCCCATGCCCATGATGGACTCTGAAAAAACGAAGAAAAACAAAATAGTATGGAAGTGGTCTGATAAACTATAGATGTATCCTTATTATCACATGACTATAGTGAATCCATTCACAGTTATGACATTTACTGCGAAAAAAGCATGATATATAAAACCCTACATTCACGTTAAACAGTAAACAGTCTGCGTTGGAAGTCAACTCATGGTTGGGATGGTATCACTTGTATTGCATACAAACACATGACGTCACTAGTATGTCTCAGCTGTACGTGACAACTATTTACAACCATAGTTGTTCTTAACTTAATAATAAAACTAAATACAATCAAAACACGTTCAGGGATTTACAAGCCATCTAGATTTTGCGAAATTACCAAATTGAAGTAAGTATGTCATAGAAGGAAGATGAGAGATATATAATTAAAAATTCGTGAATTAGCTGATCGGAAGAGCGTAAAATAGATAACCTTTTCTCTGTCACATAATTGGCAAATGCTATCTCTAATTAATTACGCCACTATGTCGTTAAAATGAGACGATATTTCTGAATGTAACATAAACCACCTTATACTCGCCACATGTAACATGCCTATCTGTATTGATTAGTAATATTATGAAGTAAAATATATAATCTAAGGACCCAAAAAACCCTCATGTGATTCTGATAAAAGATCATGCATTCTGCACTAGCTTGCTGTACTAAATTATGTGTACAATTATTCACTGCAGTCAACAATATATTACTTTCATATATCTATACTATGCTGCTTCTAGTTGTTTCCCATGATACAAAACTTTCATGTTCAGCCAAAACAAATCAATCAATCGTTGTGAACTTGTGATTATTATCTTGAAGTAAAAGTTAGACACCATGATGGCCGGTGCATTAATGAAAAATAAAATAAACAGGTGTATTGATTTGAAATGCAACCCCATGATTCGAATACGAAATACACACTTTTCCAAATTTACTTCTGACTAACTTTTAATTTAACATAATACACCAATGCTGTCGTTTTGCGACCCAATAACAATACAAGAACCATATGTATATATAAGATGGAAAATATGACATTGTATTAGATGCTGTGATTAAAATAAAACACTTGCCCTGGTCATATTCTGTTGGAATTGTCTTTTTCATTCATGAGATTTCACAACTATTACATTCTGTGAGTAACTGTTAATGTTAACTTATGAAATAAATGTGTGGTTAAAGCCATTCGGTAAAAAATATTGGTGGGCACCAATAGCGGATAGGTTGTTTTTTTCATTTCTTGCGGTCATGTATTCACTGAATTTGAAGTCAATTGATTCTGTAGATTAATCTATTTAAAAACATTTGCCAATATTAGAACAAGTGTTATGGTATCAAAGGCGAGTATTTGTAACCAGAAATAAATTAATGTCTCGAGCAAAATTAGATTCGTCATCATTAACGTAAAATGTTAGTCACAACTCGTGTGTCTTGACATGTGTGCATATTTTAAAGCATATGATATAAATATTTCTTCTATAATAAATTAACGTCAGAGTTAATAGACCACATCATTGAAAAAAACAGTAGAACACTCCATTTTGTGTTTCAAAACGTTTCTGCATATTAAAGTGGCCCAATATTTACTTCATCGTTGTAATCTACAATAGCACTTGATGTGATTAAATTCACTTGTTCAGTAGTGCTCTACCGTAAAGAGCAACTTTATAATTATAATTTTTAAATCAGCAAAAAAAATATCACCAATCATTACTGTCATTTACCAGTATTTACTACTTCCACATTCGCAAAGCAGAGCATCGAATAACATGGATTAATAGCAGAATGGACCACAAAACAAGGATTCTCAATTAGTACACCCAGTTACACAGAATACAAACACCATCAGCCTCAAAGCCGTTTATAATAACATGTGAGACATAACAAAATCACTGGTCCTCATTATAGAAACATTGTTCCAAATATATAATTACTGATGCAAGGATAAACAGTTGATAATTAATACATTACCGTATTATCTGTGAAACTAACAGCCGTATTCACGCAGTATCCCTGTCTTTGGGTTGCTACTGAGATAAAAATAGTCACCTCGCCACATGTTACCATATGAAGTGGTGACAGATTGATTATTCAATTGCCAGGGCATGCACAGGCTATTCGTTTATTTGCCTGACCAGGGCATGCGAGGCTATTCATTTAATTTTTATTACACACGTTGATTACTATAACAACGATACAATCCTCATTTAATCCTAATTTTGAAGTGTAAATAGAAAATAGATTTAAATGCTAATGTTGTCATAGCTACCGGTATGTCTTATATGCGGCATGCTCACATATCTCTTTCGCTTCTCCTAATGAGTCATTATTGTTCACAATTATCGTTTTATCAAAATCTATCAACAATTATTCTCTCTCACACTCCCTCAATGTTGTTAATTGTAAACTTTCAATTAACAATAAAGCGACTGTATTTCATATTCCATGTTTCAAACACCCCGAATAAAAACATGGCAATACGAGGGTCTGTGCTTTTTTATAAATCCGAACCACACATTAGCGATGTGATGAGCCGTGACCCCTCTAAAACCTGACGCATTAGGGTCTGGACAGAAAGTACAGGAGGGGGTAAGTCTTTTTTTTGGGGGGGGGGTCACTGATTTTCGTGTTGAGGGGAGGGTTACAGTAATCTGTGCAGGTATAGGGGGGGCGCATTTTTTTGTGTAATGCAAGCCTCATGACGCCACAATAAACGTAGCCGCCGAGATTTTGAGAACAGTGTTGCCTCAACAAAAACTTGTTTTTATTACCAAACGCTTTAGCGTGGTGTTA